CTCCAACTCATCTCATCCTCTCATACTCATCTCACTGTTCCCAAATCTTCTGTGTTACATCTGTGTCAAGATACATTTATAAAAATGATCCATATACTCTAACCACTTTGTTTTTGAATACGTCTATAATTCTTCTCCCCAGAGTGCTTTTTGAGTTCCTATCATATACAAAGCACTCTACGAGATGTCCAGCACCTAAAAATGCCGTAGACAGAGCTCCCCGCATAAGAATCTGACAAGTAATCCAAAGGTACCTCTCTATTATACAAGTCTGCAAAATAAGCAATTCTCTTTCAAAGGAATCTGATTGGAAATAAAGGCTTGGGGCAAAACTGAACTAGGGTACGTACAGACTGAAAACAATTGAGAGAAGGAGGAATACAGGAATTAATGATCCGAGAAAACCTATGTGTGTTTAAAGTAGTTCTTGATTTCTTTCTAAAGGATTACTTTACAACACGGAGCTGTCAGCTCTGATCAGCAGGATCCTAGTGTCCATGCATCTGCAGTTGGAGTAAAGGATTAGCACGGCTTGATTAATGTAAGACTTCACCATGTTGTAAACTCGTATGGCATCTTCCTTGATCACTACCATGAACCCTGAAGATAGTGCCTGACACAGAGCAGGCACACTCATGTATACTTGATGAATGAATAACAAAATAATTGGAATTTAAATTCGTTCTAGAAAAATGGTACAATGTTCATGGAAAAGCATTTTGGTAACAATGTGTAACTAATCTGAGGAATTATCAGTATTGAAAGTTTGAGCCAAAACATTAGGTGTCTAATTAGGGCCAAATGGCAGTTAAATCTTTAAAAGAAGTCACAACACAGAGGCTTTATGTAGCATGTTGAAAAACCAGAAGGTCATCTCAAGGACAATGTTGTGATTGAAGAACATTAAATAATATGTGACATGGTCTGGTTGGCTCCTTTAAAAGATTCTGGAGGAGGGCTGGGCGCAGTGGCTCATGCCTGTAATCCCAGCACTTTGTGAGGCCCAGGCGGGCAGATCACCTGAGGTCAGGAGTTCAAGACCAGCCTGGCCAATGTGGTGAAACCCCATCTCTACTAAAAATGTAAAACTTGGCTGGGCATGGTGGTGGATGCCTATAATCACAGCTACTCAGGAGGCTGAGGTAGGAGAAGTGCTTGAACCCAGGAGACGGAGGTTGCAGTGAGTCTAGATTGTGGGACTGCACTCCAGCCTGGGCGACAGAGTGAGACTACGTCTCAAAAAACAAGATTCTTGAGGAGATACATAGATGATGGAGGACATAAGACTTAAGGCAGGGAGAGCAGTGAGGAAGGTGCTACAGTTATATCTGAGAAATAAGAGGTACTATTTTAAAACAGAGAGGGTACTGATGAAGAGAAGGAAGCAACCTACATAAGATTTGGATTTAGATGCTGGAATTTTAGATGAAAAGATTCTAGGATGAACCACAAATTCTGACTTGGTGACCTGTTGCCATTCATAAGATCAGAAGGGGTAAATAGAGAAAGAGTTTGAGGATGCAAAGGTGATGAGTTACACTTTCGGTCTGTGAGTTTGAGATGCCTGTGAGATATCCAAGTGGAAAAGTCAACCAGACAGTACAATGGAGAATAGGGCTGTTAGGTAAGAAGTCTCATCTGGAGATGCAGAATTGAGAATAATCACTGAGAGTTGAAATCCTGGGAAACACCCAGGGAGAATGTGTAGAATGAGAAGAGAGGAGGCTTGAAAAGTGAACTCAACTTCTAAGGGGCAGGTGAGATTGAGGAACTTCCAAAAGAGACTGAGAAGAGGCCACTCAAAGACAAACATGCAAAGATGAAAAGTGAAGGTAGGTTTTGTAAATTGCTCTTAAATAGCAGAGCCAAAGACATTTTTTAAAAATTCAAATTAATATTTTAATTCCTAAGAATAGGTGTGGAAAATTCGTTGACTGATTGAAGAATTACAATTATTTGCTACAAATTCAAAGAATGTTACAATTTGTCAGCATTATAACAAACACTTTGTTAAATGATGACTACGGGCGAGGTAGCGGCACCTGTAGTCCCAGCTACTCGGGAGGCTGAGGCAGGAGAATGGCGGGAACCCGGGAGGCGGAGCTTGCAGTGAGCCGAGATCACGTCACCGCACTCCAGCCTGGGCGACAAAGCGAGACTCCGTCTCAAAAAAAAAAAAAAAAAAAAGAAAAAACTTAGGAAAATGTCTATGTGAAGGATGGGATAAAAATTTCAAAAAGCAAAACTTAGAATAAAATCAAGAGATAATTGCTTCATATTTATATCTCTTAATCCGTGACAGGATATGAGGTTTTTTGGATCAGAGAACAGATAAATTATTTACTTACATAGCAAACTTAGCATCGGTTCCCCATCCCCCAGTCCCCAGTGGGGGACCTAGTAGCCAGCCGTACCCTGTGTATACAGGGGTCGTACCCCAGGAGAGGAGGTTGGAAAATATGTGTCTTAGAACTCATACCGTGCAGCTGAGCCAGCTGCCTCTCTTTCCCCTGGAGAAGAAAAGAGAAAGACTTCAACTAAAGTAAATAAATGGTCTCTGGGGAGGCAAAAGTCCCTAGGTTTATTATTCTGAGTGTAAGCACATAGCTTCTGGGAGGATGATCCTAAGTGTCTCAGGAGTTTCCCATCTTTAACTTCCAATGGTTCTTTGCCATTCAAACATCCTTTAACCCAGATGCCAGCAATGTTTTGCCTAAAGCTTTGACCTTGTATAAAGTGAATATATTCATGTAGCACTTTTTCCTGGCCTTGACTAGAAGCGCTAGACTATGAAATCAAGTTAAATAATCACAATGGCGCAGAATCTGTAAAAATGGAAAACCTTCCTCTTAGGATTTTTTTTTTTTTTTTTTTTTTTTAGTCTCAGCTGAGATAATTTACCAAGAAGGGCTCTTTTCACAGTAGGTCCGTAATAGAGCTTGACCCAGTCACAATGTGATGATGGGTCCACATCCCACCTGACCTGGATGTGAAACCTAAAGCACTGCATAGCATCTTTCCTAGATTTGAAGGACTTTTAAACCTTTGACAACACATCATCTCTATCCATTCCTAGCCTCAGGAGCCCCAGACAGAATTCATCACTTCCTCTTCCCTATTCCCACCGCACTTTGTGTTAATCTCTTAGAGCATTTTTATTATAATTAGTTGTGCCTGTCTGCCTCACTGGACTAGGAATACTTGACAGGAGAAAATATTTCTTGAGCACCCACGATATTAAGGGCATTGTGTTAAATGTTGTAAGAAGTTCAAGAAAATGATTGCATTCTTAAGAATACTTCTTGTTTCATTTTTTGTATATCTTGAAATACAGTCCTGAGCTATATTAGGTTAAAGGAAGAGAAATTGAATTAGCCATCAACATAGGGGGATATTCCTCAACTATAAATATTTATGAGCTGATTCTATAGTTGATAGAATTAGCTATCAATTATAGGGGGACAGCTATCACTATTTATGGACTTAAATGTGAGTGTCTTTAAAAGAGAAGTGAGGAAAGGAAGGAGAATGTGATCTTGGTGTTTGAAGGAAAAGGTGGCGTCATACATAGCGAGACTAAGAGCAGAGAATTAGGTAATGTTTAGTATCTAACTTTCACTCTGACACTTGTCATAATGAAAGAGAAAAACATCTTAGCTTTTTTTTTTTTTTTACATCTTCAGTAATTAGCTATTTTATGCGGAAGCTATGTGTGGGAATGTTCAAGAACATTTATCGGGATTTAAAAATAGAAAATAATTTTCTTCTAGTTCAAACTTGATTGTTTTGCACCGCCAGTCAAGCAAGAGTCTGAGTGTTGAATAAGATCAGGAGCCTATAATAAATTTTCTCCCCAGAGAGATTAAAAAATACTATCTATTAGTTTCAAGGAGAATTAATTGATTCACATTTGTAAAGGTCTTTGATGTAAAATGTGCTATAAAAAGAATAAAAAACATTCTGTGGAACTCGGAGTAGCACTAACTTTCTTTTCATTGGAAAAATATCTTGGTTGTCTAGATATATTTTTCAGTGATGTGTATGAAGCAAATAATTCAATTTATTGTTCAGTTCTAATACAGATTTAATTACAGATTTTCATACTGCAATATTTCAAAAAGGATATTCGACCCTTTTTTTTTTTTTTTTTTGAGATGGAGTTTTGCTCTTATTGCCCAGGCTGGAGTGCAGTGGCGTGATCTTGGCTCACCACAACCTCCATCTCCTGGGTTCAAGCAATTCTCCTGCCTCAGCCTCCCCAATAGCTGGGATTACAGGTTCCCGCCACCATGCCTGGCTTTTTTTTGTATTTTAGTAGAGACGGGGTTTCTCCGTGTTGGTCAGGCTGGTCTCAAACTCCTGACCTCAGGTAATCTGCCCGCTTCAGCCTCCCAAAGTGCTGGGATTACAGGCATGAGCCACCATGCCCGGCTTCGACTCTTTAAAAAAAAAAAAAAAGGATACAAATTTACCTCGATAGTACACAGTTAAATTTTATTTTGCTCTTTGTATGTTTCAATATCAGGATAATTCAAATCTGACATTTTAATTAACCTGCTTACTTTTTAAATAATTGCTGGTCAAAGTTTAATGTAGCAATTTTTTTCTCAAATCACATATTTTACCTACTTAAGGAACATTCAGATAAAGGTTATATTTCCTATATATTAAATGTAAAAAATTAGCAATTCAATGACTGCCGGGATGATTTGTAAGTTAGGTTGTATTTACATTTAGGACATAGCAGAGAGGAAGCACTGATGGGTTTTGCCCATATTGGTCATTTCTGTTTCCATAGCAACAGACCGCCACTTCTACTCATTTGTATGTAATTTGTATCCTATATGTGTTCCTCTAGAATTGGCAAGTGTGTTCAAAAATCAAAAACAAGGTCATCAATTATTTAGTTCAAAATTTAATAGTTTACCTTCTGGGTCTGACCTTGATATATTTATATGCATGTGTTGGTTTTACTTTCCCTTTGTTTCTGTTTTCTCCAGTACAGTGCCCTTAATCCACGAGAATCATGGGACATGTGGCATCCCACTCTGGTGGCAGAGGCTTTATTTGCTATTGCAAACATCTTCAGTTCTCTGCGTCTGATCTCACTGTTTACTGCAAATTCTCATCTGGGACCTCTGCAAATATCTCTGGGAAGAATGCTCCTGGACATTTTGAAGTTTCTATTCATATACTGCCTTGTGTTGCTAGCATTTGCAAATGGCCTAAATCAATTGTACTTCTATTATGAAGAAACGAAAGGGTTGACCTGCAAAGGCATACGATGTGAAAAGCAGAATAATGCATTTTCGACGTAAGTCTAATAGACATTTCTACTGGTAATGTTGTACAGCATTTAGAGTGCACCACATCACAAACTTGAAAAACCTATGACAAATGGTTATAAAGAAAATGGGGAATTAAAATTATACTTAATGCAGAAAACAGAATTCATGTGGCTTTAAATAGAAATGAAAACTACCGACAGGAAAAAGAATACCTGGCACATTTATTTTAAATTTTAGTAAAATCATCTTTTCTTGTAAATGACTTCATGAAAAAGAAAGCAATAGATACTATTTTTTTAGATGTAGAATCGAAAAAGGTAACCTAGGTACTATGAAAGCTTACAAGTACATTAAAAGATAGAACATATGTAAAACCACTCATGTTGGAAAATTCAAGTAGGTTTCAATGTTTCCTTATGTGTTTCCCAGGTACTAAAGTCCATTTACGTATCTCTTTCATTCTCTAGTTTCCTATACAAAAACTTAAGCATCTAAAAATAGTGCAAATGGAAATCTAAGACTAATCTAGCCATTATTGCCATGCACACAACACTCTCTGTGCCCTTACAGCTGGATGAGCAATAGACACTGTCTATTGTCAACTCTCTTCAGTTATTCTCATAACAGGCTTTGCTAACAGCACACAGCTTCATGGGCACTGTTTGATGGTCACACAGCTCTCATAGGCTATTCCTCTATATATCTGTCCCATTTCCTTCCCACTGTGACAAACAGACGGTTAACTAGTAGGTGAATTAATAAGTGAAGTGATATTCCTCCACACAGTAACCACATTTGAATACACAGTCATTTTGTAGGTGACTTTAAAAGTCATACCTTATTCATGAGCCATCATAGAATCATGTATACTATAAGAGAGGATGGTAATTTCTCATGTAAGAAAAATTCAATATCACATGAACAAATTCACTTACAGCTAAAATGCTCTTGTTGATTTAATTCTACATCTGTTTTATCTTAGCCCCAATATTTAAAACTTCATTTTAATTATTCATCATCTTATTTGCACATAATTTTTAAATGTCAGCCATTGATACCTCATTGTTTTCAGAAATAGATTTGATACATCCATGGATCTTAAATAAAACACATTTTTTTTTTTTTTTGACAGAGTTTTGCTCAGTCACCCAGGCTGGAGTGCAGTGGTGTGATCTCGGCTCACTGCAACTTCTGCCTGCAGGGTTCAAGTGAGTCTCCTGCTTCAGCCTCCGGAGTAGCTGGGGCTACAGGCACCCACCACCACACCTGGCTAATTTTTTTATTTTTAGTAGAGATGTGGTTTCACCATGTTGGCCATGGCTATCTTGAACTCCTAACCTCAAGGGATCTACCTGCCTCAGCCTCCCAAAGTGTTGGGATTACAGGCGTGAGCCACTTCGCCGGCCTTCCAGCTCCATCTTGATCCTGTATTCCTAAGCAGCAGTTTCTTGACCTGACTGGTTCACTCAGTCTTGACATCTTCCCACTGCTCTCTTCTGACCCTGGGCAGGAGGAATTCAATGAAATCCCTTGCAAAAACATCCTCATAACTAGCATGGCCTAGAATGGCATCTCAGTTTTGATATCTGAACTTCTTTTCCTCCCCCACCCACCCACTCCCCCACCCCCGTCTCATTTGTGGTTCTTGACTTGCAACTCGGCCAGGGAAACCTGGATTAGAGATTTACAATGGTCAGATCCCACCAACCTCTTCCTTCATAAATGAGAGTTCTGCTCTAACCGTCTTTGTCTGTCTGCCAGCTGGTCTCCTGGATTTCTGATGGAGAACCCTTGTGAATGCTCTTTCACAAGTTTCTTCTTACTTTACGCTGCATAACCTGGTGCAAACTGCTTGCCAAAACCACCCCATCTGTTCCTGTTGCCATATCCTTCTGACTTCCTCCTTTGCCTTCCAGAAAGAACTTCCACACAGCATTTAAAACTGTGTTAACTCCTAGGTCCTCTTTATTTTGGGGGAAAAGCTCTGGTTCCCAGACCCAACCCTTCTCACCTATCTGATTCCTCTGCAATCAATAGGTTATACCTAACACTGTCATGATTTATGATCCCCTAAAATTCCTAGGAATTTCCTTGTCCCTAGTATTGGTTTCTTCGTAAGTAATAACATATTACAGACTAATCATAACATAAATCAAAGGAGATTATGGCCAGACAAGTAAGATGTAAAATACTTAATATAAATTCTATTCCAAAATCAAATATATTGGATTATTGGGATTATGTATTACTTTCGTTTGTCTATACCAATGGTTTCCTCTATTGTCATGAGAAGCAACATAATCACGTATCTTAAATACTATAGGCCTATATCATTCAACCCAAATAAATCAGTTATTGCCCTTGATTTTTTCTAAATAATAGAATATAAATCTGCCAGCCACAAGTTAGTTTTTGCTTCAAGATATTGAAAAATTAAAGTATATATCAATAGCCCTTAGCATTAGGAAGCAGGAGGTCCTAGGCATAAGTCACCTATCCCTTGATGACTCTGTTTAAGCAAAACGGACATCAGTCACTGTCACAGGGTATATAGTGATACCGTTGGGGCCCCTGCTCTACATCTTACTTCAGTGCTTTCTTTGGTCTTTAATTTTCTTTTTGTAATTCTGTATGATTCATAAATTAAAAACTACCCACTATTTCTGAGACCTTATTCTATGTGAAGGTTAAAAATAAAATAATTCATATAAAGTACCTAACACGGTGCATGTCATACAATGTCATCAAAAATGGTAGCTACTCTTATTATTGTCATGATTGGCAATGGTAGAGGATTATCTCTCACATACCTCTCATAAGGTTTCATCTCTATTATTCCTTCCACTCAGGTTCAAACTTTGTAGAAATTTTGAACCCAGTATTTCCCATTAGCTACCACTCCTGTTTCTCTCATTTCTTTCATCCAAGTAACCCTAAAATAAGCCTATGCAAGATATGTTATTTTCTCACCTCTCACTCAGACTTCATCCAATTACAATTTGGCTTCTGCTTCCATCATTCCACTAAAACTGCCCTAAAAATTATCATCTAGAGCCTTCTTATCACCATTAACTATGGACATTTATCTGCTCACGTTTTACTTAATGTGTCTGCTTCATTTGACCCTGTTTAATGCTTCCCTTTTTGGAAATCTTGTCCCCTTTTAACTTCCATATTATTACCCTTTTCACTTCAAATCTTACTTCTCTAGCCTTTCTCACTTTAACCCTAACCCTAACTTTACTCTGATAATTTTTTATTTTCATTACTGCTTTTAAATAGTGGTATGTCTTAGCATACTAACCTGAGACCCTTTTAACAGTACCCCTATGAAAATTCATCTACGCTTTTGGAACTGGCTCTATATGTCTAAGACATGACTTCCATATTTATATTACTAACATCAATTTCTATCCTTGGATTGCACAATATATTCATCTGTCTATTAGACACCTCTCTTTACATGCCTCTTGAAGACTTACATTCAATCAAAGAGAATTTATCATAGTCTCTCTAAAACATATTCTTCCTCCTGCTTAATTCCTTTTCTTAGTCAACATGACCACAATCCACCCAGAAACTTACACCAAAAATGTATATCTTATTCTAGATCTTACCTTCTTCTCATCTCTTCCATGTGTAGTCAGTCAACAAATGTCTGTTCCCACTCTTATTATCTTGGCACTGTCTTCCCCTTGCTCTCCACTCATGCCCAAGTGTAAGTACCCCTGCCCCTGGTCTCTGCCTTATTTCATGTCTTCCATCTTGCTTCCTGAGTTATATTTCTAAACCAAAATCTGAGGGTCCTCTGTTTAAAGTGCCAAAATGGTTTCCCTATTGCTTACAGGACACTGCCACATTCTTTAGCTTGACGTTTTAGATCATTCATTGATCTGTCTGTCCCCTGCCTCCTGTCTTAGTCCATTTTTGCTGCAATGAAGAAATACCTGAGACTGGGTAATTTACAGAGAAAAGAGGTTTATTTGGTTCATGGCTCTGCACACTCTATAAGAAGCACAGCATCAACATCTGCTTCTGGGGAGGGCCTTAGGAAGCTTCCATTCACAGTGAAAGGCTAAGGGAAGCGGGAAGCAGGCATCACAGGGGGAAAGAGGAAGGAAGCAAGGGAGGGAGGTGCAGAGGTCTTTTCAACAATCAGATCTTGTGAGAACTCACTAATTGCTCCTAGAATGACACTAAGCCTTTTGTGAGAAATCCATGATCCACCACCATCACTCAAACACATCCTTCTATGCCCCACTTTCAATATCAGGGATTACATTTCAACATGGTATTTGAAGGAGACAAACATCCTCTGTATCACTTCCTTTTCTTGTCTCATCTTTCAATCCCCCAGCAATACTTTACTCTTCAATATTTCCTGATGGATTATAAATATAAATCTCCAAATATGTATTTTCTTCTCTTATTCGAGAATGTCCTTATTCTGTCCTTCCATTTGGCTTTTTTTTTTCCAAATCCTACCTCAGATATACCTTTTCCAGGAGGCCTTTTCTGATCTCCCTAGCTGTGAACACCCAATGTCAGGCTGTGATCCATGTCTTCTATGTGACTTCATGCAGTTTCCCACCAGTGAACAGATACTTCCTTCTGCTCCTTTCCAGGTTATTCTCTCAATACCCTGAGAAGAACTGCATGTTACCAAAAGATACAGAGTATTTACTTGTTGAAACTACTCTATGTGCAATTTTAAGCTATTAGCCCCTGGCAAGGTACTCTCTTATGAAGAGAGGAGCACAGGCTTTGTGACAGGTATTGTCTCATTAAGCAAAACCCTTTTATATTTGTTGGAGCTGTATTCCTAATAGTTGTAATTGGCCAGTTGGAGTCATACATTATTTTAATATTACATTCTTGCTTGTAAGCTAAAGATAAAATATTCAGATGAATTTTTATTAATTTATGTTTGCTCATTGTTTTAGTCCCATGGGATAGAGGAAAACTTCAACGGTGGAATATATTACATTTTACACATTCAATTTTTCTGGCTGTAAATATATAATCAGGGAAACAAGCTAATTATATAACGTACATGTTGAGCAATACATTCAAAGCAAGAGACAAAATGTTATCATTAGGAAGGCAGGACCTCGGTCCACCCATATAGACTGTTAGAATTTAGTCTTTGACCCAAGTTTTGTACTAAATGTCACTTAAATAAATTGTAGCATTATCTTGGAGAGCTTTCAGTTCATATCTTACCACAGAACAAGAAAAATATTAGTCACATAAAGGCATTCTGAGATGTGATGCTTTAAGTAAGGATCCTTCAATTTATGGGCAATGTTGGTCTCAATAGTTTTGGGAATTAATAATGAAAAAAACATTTCTGAAAGCAATGGCTTTGAAATGTTAACCCAGACCGATTTTTTAAAAATCCACCTATTATCTGAACAATTCATTGAGAAACACTTTAAGACCAGGGTCTTAATTCCTCTGAGAAGTAAATATATTTTAGTTAAATGGAACTAGTCTTTAATCCTCACTATTGACTTATTCCACTGAAAGAAGGAAAATCAAAGAAAGAAAGAATCCATGAGTAATCATGAAATGTCACTTTATTTAGAATTTTCCCCTTTAAATTTTTTTCTTTCTTTTTTTTTCCTTTTTTTTTTTTTTTTTTTTTTTGAGACGGAGTCTCACTCTGTCGCCCAGGCTGGAGTGCAGTGGCCGGATCTCAGCTCACTGCAAGCTCTGCCTCCCGGGTTCACGCCATTCTCCTGCCTCAGCCTCCCGAGTAGCTGGGACTACAGGCGCCTGCCACCACGCCAGGCTAATTTTTTTGTATTTTTTAGTAGAGACGGGGTTTCACCGTGTTAGCCAGGATGGTCTCGATCTCCTGACCTCGTGATCCGCCCGTCTCGGCCTCCCAAAAAGTACTGGGATTATAGGCTTGAGCCACCGCACCTGGCCCCCTTTAAATTTTTTTAAACATCAATAAATATTTTGCAAAAGTGTTTACTAATATTTCCTAAGATTAGTAGTTAGTATTTAGACAGGAGCAAATGTGTACTATTCAAAATAATAAGCCGTTTATTCTGCATCATTGTTTTTATTTGAAAAAGAACCTGTAATGGGATTTAGGTGGTAACATTTTACACAATATATTTTATAACTTATAATATTTAACTTATAACTTTCCTTAAATTGCTATTCATGTCAGGAAAACTAGCTGATTTTTATATGTATACTCACAGTGAGAAAATACACTATTTGGAAAGAAAGAATACAATTATTTCACATTAAATCCAAAGGACACTATGATTAATTTTAGAATTGTCTTTAAAGTTACTAAAAATAAAGAATTCATGGCCATGGGCCAAATTTACTTTTTCCTGAGAGACTTTCAAGGAGCGGCTTTAGTGGCTTTTGTCTAGGGCCGATGAGCCAGATTTAATTCTAATATTGTTGGAATCTGGCATCTGGGTTTTCCTCTAAGAATGAATGTACAGCATTCCATTTAAAAATCACAGTTTGGCTAAAGTTGATCAGATCAGTGCTCTTTCTGCTTCACAATAATCTGTTGTTCCATCGTTTTACAGTTCTAGAAAATAAATAGTTAATTTTATATCTTAAAACTAGTTGCTCAATTAAAAATACAAAATTTTTTACCTTTTTAAAAAAGCAGTTTTCATCCTGAATGCCAATTAGGCATATTTAGTTAGAATCTCCTGGTTATGTGCATCAGAATTCATGGCTTATTTCAAGTAACAAGCATTTTGCTATAAAAATCATGCACAGAATTATAGCCCTTCAATCTTCTGAGTAAGGGTTTATCTTTGCAAGGGCAGAGCCTAGAGCAAGCCCCAGCTTTAGGAAGAGCCGGAGTTGACATAGTGCTGGGCCATGGGATTGTTACTCTGTGTGTCAGCATTAAAGTGAGTCAGCTACTTCATCCTTATTCCGAGTTTACTTATTGTCTGGCTTATTCATCCTCAATTCTCTGTTTCTTAGTTTGTGCTGTCTCAGACCCTTGGCATCCTGTCATTCCAGTGACTCTGACTCCACATCATAACCCCTGTCATCTCAACCCCTTTGGGCAATTATCTTGATATTTTTAAGGCAAACTTGTCTAGAGGAGAATTCTGATCATTTTTGCCTTAGTACATGCCACAGGCCACTGGCCTTATATGAATTGTCTGTCCTTGGGTCACTTGACCATGATTGACTTAATCCACAGAGACATTGGCTGAGTAGCTCCAGAGTCTTACACCAGGACTATCTTTCCGTAAAAGGGCATACAGGGGACAATGCTACTGGGGCTGAGAGTTGCCAGAAGCCATAATTGACTTGGTTCTGCAACACCATTCCAATCTAATGCTAATCTCCCGACAGACGGAAATCCTACCCCCTTAGTCATCATGCCCGGTATGAGAAGGTTTTCGTTTTATTTTTGTAATTTCAATAGTCTCATTTTAATGATTTATCAAGAAGTATGAAAGCTCTATTATCGTTTTTTACACTATATTAGTGTATTATTATGGTCCCTTTGAAACAAACAATTCTCCATTTGGGTTCAGATACTCCTCAGCTTATTTCATTTTTTGGAGCAAGTTATTTATTTTCAATAAAATAGCCAGAGCTCATTCATTGGCTAGAATAAATAAAATGTTCCTTGAAATACCAAAAAAACCAAAAACCCACCAGATTTTATTATCTAAGCATTCTGAGACTCTTTGCCATCTTACAAGATGTCCAATTTTAGTTGTAAACATGGAAATCTGTAATAATTATAATGTTCTCAATTCTCCTACAACCAAAGCAAAATCAGTAAAAGAACAGACTTTTTTAAAGCCTAAAATTTGGGATCTATCATTTCTTAGTGATGACTTAGTGCCCTAGGACAGAGATTGACAAATGTTCTATGAAAAGGAACAGATAGTAAATATTTTTGGTTTTCTGAGCCATATGTTCTCTGCTGTAACTACTTTCTTCTGCCATTGTAGCACAAACGAAGCTATAGGGAATGAATAAATGAATGAGAATGGATGCTTTTCAATAAAATTTTATTTATGGATATGGAGATGTGAATTTTACATAATTTTCATGTCACAAAATATCACTCTTTTTTTTTCCCAACCATTTGAGAAAGTAAAAACCATTCTTAACTCAGTACCCATGCCACATTTGCCTCTCTCTGCCCTAAGAAACTAAATTTAGCTTTCAAAGCCCTTGGGAAATTTAAGTACACCATTTCTACTAGTTTGAGGAAAAGAGTTTTCTTTCACTCTTTTTATCATTTAATTTTATAATTGTCCTAAAAGGTTATTTTACTGTTGATATTAAAGTTAATTTTATATATAATAGCGCCAAGCTTTATTGTTATATCTTATGTATAATTATTCCATTAATATAGCTATTAGTATCATTTTATCTTTATTACAGGTTATTTGAGACACTGCAGTCCCTGTTTTGGTCAATATTTGGACTCATCAATTTATATGTGACCAATGTCAAAGCACAGCATGAATTTACTGAGTTTGTTGGTGCCACCATGTTTGGGACATACAATGTCATCTCTCTGGTTGTTCTACTCAACATGTTAATAGCTATGATGAATAATTCTTACCAACTGATTGCTGTAAGTTGACCAGCTTTATTTTAATTCAATATTTCCTCTAGAATCTGTTGTTGTCAGCTATACTCCATCTTCTTACCATCATAAATAAAATCTATAATTAGCCATTGATGAGACAGATAAGAATTATCAATGGTTAATTTGAAATTTCTGAGCAGTAGCACCCTATATGTAGCTATAAGTTAATCTGATTTTGTCATGTTACACATGATTACAAAGATAAACCAAATCCATTTTGCCAGGCAGTCACTGGCTATGGGAAATAGTAGCTGAGATCTGACTTACAAACAAGCAGCTCATCTCTGTGCAGTGAACAGTAGGTTTTGCCTCCTGTCAGTCCATTTAACCTGCCACCCTCACATAAGCAAAGTCATTCCTGTAGGGGAAGATACAAAAGATAACCCAGAGAGGAGTCTGGGGAGGGGAGAAGTCATAGGATTTTCAATTTCTTAAAACTCAGGGAAAGCAATGTATTCAGAGAAGTAGTATTAAATTCTGTAGGATAATACACAATACATTTTTTTTGAAACTCTGGAATCGAAACAACTTAGCATACGTTATTTACTTATTCATTCAACACATAATTACTTGGTACATACTGTGTTGCCCAGTACTGTTCTGGGCACCAGAAATACAGCAATGCACAAGAAAGACAAAGCTTGAACTTATCTGCTTGAACTTACATACTAGTGATATACGTCTCTGACCACTAGCAATAGGAGCAAATCAGAACCCTTAGTGGAATGAAATATAGTTAAGTCTTTCATATTTATACCTTAGACAAGTAGCATTTTATAAGCATAATTATAGTTTTCCCATTTTCTTCATAAATAACTACATTACATTATACCTTTGAATCTATGGTTAAATCTCTGAAGAGTTATTACTGTGTTTTTGTCAAGCAAAACTCTGAATTTTACTTCAGCTGTCTTTAAGGGGCACATTTTTCTCATAAGACACTCATCACTGATGAAAAACTGCATAGAACATGAAAATAAATGGTTTTTATTTACAGATTCACAGGCTAAAGTATTCCAAATGCATAAATAATTCCTCTGGAAATAGGTAGGTCCTAGGATTTGGAGGTTAATGTCCGAATTTGTGGATACTTTGGATTTCATTTAAGCATCTCATGATCTGAAATTTTTATAGACTCTAAATTTTTGTGTCAGAAGTTCTATATTCTCCTAATTAACATATTGCCAAAATGTGGGTTCTGTTTTCCAGAACATCAGCAACAACAACAAATTAGAAGTCCTTTAATTATTAAGCTAGATACAAGGAAGCTGCCAGCAATTTGGATTTTTTTTTTTTTTTTTTGAGACGGAGTCTCGCTCTGTGGCCCAGGCTGGAGTACTGTGGCGCACTCTCAGCTCACTGCAAGCTCCGCCTCCCGGGTTCACACCATTCTCCTGCCTCAGCCTCCTGAGTAGCTGGGACTACAAGCGCCCGCCACCTCGCCCGGCTAATTCTTTGTATTTTTTTTAGTAGATACGGGGTTTCACCGTGTTAGCCAGGATGGTCTCGATCTCCTGACCTCGTGATCCGCCCGTCTCGGCCTCCCAAAGTGCTGGGATTACAGGCTTGAGCTACTGCGCCCGGCCTGGATCTTTTAAAACATTAAATGTCCCAATTTCATCAAGAAGAAAACACTATTTAAGAATATTATGACTTTTTGTTATTGCTTCTTTGTGAGGTGTGCTTTTCTAGGTAACTTCATTACAGAGATGAGAATCATCTTCAACTCTCTATTTCTACTCAGCCCAAATCCTAACAGTATGGAGAACAAAACAGGCATTAAGCACCTGAGAAAGGTGTGATTCCAGGTCTCCATGCATGAAGCCTCCTTGAGGCATGAACATGCCAAGCATTGCTTTCCCCTGTTCTAGAATAGCAGAATATACTCTGGGTCCTTGGGTCCTTGGGTCAGTCGGTCCTTCCTTCCTTCCTTCCTTCCTCCCTCCCTCCCTCCCTCCCTTTCTCCCTTCCCTTTCTCTTTCTTTTCTTTTCTTTCTTCCCTTTCTTTCTTTTTTTCTTTCTTTACCTTTCTTTCTTCCTTTCTTTATCTTTCTTTCTTCCTTTCTTTATCTTTTACATTCTTTCTTTATTTCTTTCTTTTTTTTCTTGCTAACTGTAACTCAGAGTCATAGTTAAACCTTGAAAAATGAGGAAAATTTAACTGTTGAAAGGCAGAAGCAGTTATGTAGGCCTCAACTAAAGCCTGTTTTCCATTCATTCATTCATTTGTTCATTGATTAAATATTTATAGTGAACCAACTATATACCAGACATATGCTTAATTTTAGGGATACAAAGAATTAAAAAGTCCCGTTTTCATCAACAACAAAAAAATGATATAGTAGAGATAAAGAATCGATAAATAATTTCAATATTGAGAAAAGAAATTTGAGGATGTCATGAAAGTATGGAAGAGGGGACCTTGACTGGGGTTGGAAATAGGAGGCAGCTCAGGACTGGAGGCAGAGCAGGCTTCTGAGTAGAGAGGATTCTTAAGCCGAGTTTCAAATGTTGACTAGGAGTTAGAAGGTGAGTAGTGGAAGATGGATCTAGTCATCACCAGCTTAGAACTTTCTATCTCCAGATTTTCTAAGCACTATAGACTATGTTATAGACCCTCTTAAAATCCTAAATCATGAACAAAGAAAGCACTTGCTTAGTGATTGCAATAAGATAACATAATTTGAGACTTTCTGGGAATCAGAGAATCAGAAGGAGCTATTCACAGGCCAATGCTTTATCTAAGTGATTGCCTTTTTATTTCCTTGAGCCAGATCTACTGAGTCCCATTCTCTATGCCTGCAGGAAACAATATATACAATTCTCTTTACCAATGCAGCATAATCAGCCAGAACCGATAAGCTTGTTTAGAAAGAAAGAGAAAGGAAAGGAGAAATAAGAAAGGAAAGAAAGAGGAGGGGAAAAGGGAGAGAAACTGCAGCTTCTGTGTTCCCATTTATCAAACATTCGCTTAGCAACAATAAGGCCATGCAATTTCTAGCTCTGGTGATTCTTGTTCAAAGCACAATCTGTCCAGTATCTGGATTAAAACCCATGTTGCGCAGAGTAGAAATGTATGTATAACTTATTCATCAGCATACAGCAATTTAGGAATATCAAAATGAAACATAGTTGAAGATTATTCTCCTACTGTAAAATATGAGTTCGTGTTTATGATATTAACTGGTTACAATGAACTATTCTGAATTCTTAAAATGAATGTATGCCCAGTCTCTACCACCTCCTACTTCTCAGATTTTCTGCTTAAATCAGATTTATGGCTACATTTCTAAGAAGAGACTGGCCGCCCCAAATCTAATTGCCACAAATGTTCCAAAGTTTCCCCAAGAGGTTAATAAAGTGGAGTGAGTAATACATGATGAAGGAGATAGCCTCAGGATTGTGGGCAACCACTGGCCATACTGCTCTTTGGTGAAATCTGTCCAAAGTTAGGTCAAGATCCCATGGTGTGTCAGAGAAGCCCAACTCTACATTTATTAGGGGAACTTCTTTCTATGTTTATTTCCGTTGGCCAAAGGTGGGCAATAATATTCACATGAAAACATATCCAATAAGACTTTTCCTGGCAACACTGAAGGCTAAGCCATGAGCATCTGTGGAGGTAACATTAATCGAAACAGGAATACAAGGCTTTGGTTAAGACAGAAAGTCTATTCCTGAATCAAATGAAACTGCGCTAATGTGAGCCTGCAGGCTAATCTTCAAGTCATGACTAATTACTACAGTCTTTTTAACATGGAATTATTTTAGATACCTGTTTCACTGAAGAAGGAAGTATGAGAAGTGACACAAGACCTGGGACTACTCTAGGTTAAGCCACCACCTGAAATGTTTAGATGACTATCTCTGGGAGTCAGTGGTGGTTTTAGAAGCAATTTAATTAATGTTCCAAGAGTCGCTTGAAGTCAGGTTACAGGCTGTCTGTGAAATTTATGGTACCTTATTAATTAAGGAACCTGTCATCAGTTGTCATGTTCTCCTGTTCAGGACCATGCAGATATAGAATGGAAATTTGCACGAACAAAGCTTTGGATGAGTTATTTTGAAGAAGGAGGTACTCTGCCTACTCCCTTCAATGTCATCCCGAGCCCCAAGTCTCTCTGGTACCTGATTAAATGGATCTGGACACACTTGTGCAAGAAACAGATGAGAAGGAAGCCAGAAAGTTTTGGAACAATAGGGGTAAGAACACAGCATGTTAGTATTACTCTTTTTCTAAATTGTGTAGTTGAATATATTTGTAGTCTTTAATGAACATGTTCAGGTTCAGGTCTTTAGCCTTTTTGTTCTTACCGACTGCATGTCATGAACATTTATAGCACATCTCCCATGACCAAGGCAGTGTCTGACTAACTAGGATTTCTTCACAAGTGCATTTCCTGCATTGAGGGCAGTCACTGCTATTTTAATAGAAGTTCCACTCTTCACACAGCCCTCAAGTTCTGCTAGCCAAGGATGGGGAACTAGCATACTCTGTCTTAGTACCTTGACTTCTAGGTCTTTGCAGAATGTGACAGCAGGTTATTTGTGGCATTTATTCCTCATTGTCTGTTTCCCCCTCTGGATTGTATGCTCCATGAGGGCAGGGCATGTGTTTTAGTGACCTCAAATTCCTCGTGCCTAACATAGGTCCTTACACGGAGCATTTTATGCTTGATAAGAATTCTCAATTAAATGATTGACTGAATATTATAACTTAAATATGCTGTGCCAACTGTCAACTGTGATTCCAGAACATGTTTAATTACTCAATATGTTGCGTCTACTCCCTATCATATTAGATGCCAAGAAGTTAGGCATCTAAATATACATATATATATATACACACACACACACACAGAGAGAGAGAGAGAGACTGCTCAGAACCATGCTCGTGGTAAACTGGAAGATGATATTTCCCTTTCCTCATTTTAGAAGTCAAGGTTTCAAGCAATTCCAGCAGAAGATACATCACGTTAAGCTTTTGGTCCAGCCATACCATTGACATAAGACAAATCATTCTTCACGCCTTCCTCCCTTTGCGTTCTAATTTTGAAAGTTCTCATAGTGATGTTTTGGGAATTAACATACTGATACTCATTAGTCACTTTGATCTTCTCAGGAATATTGCTTTGGAAGTATTTGAAAATGTTGTTATATTAGGATTACCAAGTAATATTTGAGATTAATCAAAAATAAAAAATATTAATTTGTTTTCCATTTTATTTGACATGGTGTGTGACTGCTATGCCCTAAGAAACCCTTCCCACTCTTTCACTTCATTGCCTACCAGGCATTGTCATCAGCACCAAATGGAGCTTTCTCACACTGACGGTGGCATTCATTTTCCTCTCATCTCGGTAACAACTCTAATTAGAGAAATTGACTGGCAAGTGAATGTTACAAAGAGGTGATTAGGAGATGCAGTTATATTCTTTCCTATAAACTATTACCCATAGATTTGAGGGACTACAGTTTGTGAACTTATCTGACCTTAGAAACCAAAGTCAGATTGTGACAAAGCCTTATCCTGCCATCCTCATACTAATTTATGAACTTTAACACTGACCTTAGAAGGGAGGGAAATTATTTTCCTCCAAATATTTGACTTTTGTGTTAAAAGTCTTAGAATAAATGTAATAGCTTAGATTTAATAAGCAATTACTGCATGTGTTCCCCTTGCCATAACTGAACCAGAATTTGAGGAGTGGCAAGAGGTACGAAGGCATGGGTTCCATCTTTGAGGGCAGCAATTTTAATGTGAGAGATACAGAAATAAAAACAGATATGTTATGTAATATATTTAACATTATCATACAGTCACATGTAAAAGGCTATGGGAAAAATGCAAGACATAATTAATGCTTCCCTTGCGGTAAACAGGACAAGATTTCAAGGAAGCCAGACTCCAGCTTACTCCTTTCCACATCAAACATACTTATCCTTTGTACCATCTCATCCGAAAATTTATAAGCTTTTTTTTTTTTTTTTTTTTTTTTTTGAGACGGAGTCTCGCTCTGTCGCTGGGGCTGGAGCGCAGTGGCCGGATCTCAGCTCACTGCAAGCTCCGCCTCCCGGGTTTACGCCATTCTCCTGCCTCAGCCTCCTGTGTAGCTGGGACTACAGGCGCCCGCCACCTCGCCCGGCTAGTTTTTTGTATTTTTTTTTTAGTAGAGACGGGGTTTCACCGTGTTAACCAGGATGGTCTCGATCTCCTGACCTCGTGATCCGCCCGTCTCGGCCTCCCAAAGTGCTGGGATTACAGGCTTGAGCCACCGCGCCCGGCCTATAAGCATTTTTTAATCGATCTCAGAAAAGATAGTGATGATTAATGCTGTCATAATATACTACCTTTCGTAAGAGTATTCTGATTTAAAAAGAGCTTCTGGGTCAAAAAAAAAACCCTACTCACCAAAGAAATGTGTATTTCATATTTTAATTTTAGGCAATGGCAGAGAGAATCTTGGTTTTTAAGATAACAGGAAACTTGTAACAAAACACAGGGTCCTGCTCTGATGTTTTAAGCGATCCATCTGTACTGCCAACAAAACGAATGGAGAACCAGACCAAAAGCTTGACTTCCGACCCTCCCTCCTATCCTCTCACTTTTGATTCATGGAAAGGATTATGTTGCCATCATTCTTTAGAAGCAAAGAGGAGCTCTCAGTCAATTGGCTTTTCTATTAAAGTAGTGATTCATTCTCAGAGTTAAACAGTTTTATTTGCTATATATTACTAGTCTCAAAAGGAACCCACACATTTCTCTTATATGTCTATCTCTATATTTGAATTTTTTGCTCCAAGCTGATGCACAGCAAAATAATTTGAAACTAATCAGAATCTCAAACCATTCCTTTTTTTTTTCACTATTAATATTTTACTAACATTCAACAATGAGTATTTGGATGCTTTGGGAATTTATGCCAAAGGGGAAAATATTCTGAGTCATGTCTCTCTTTTCCACCAATCTAGAGCCTTGGGCAGGCACCAGTCCAATCAACATCAATGCTGTCTAAATTTACTCTTTCTCCATACTGCATTTCCAGAATGAAAAGAACATATGATTTTCGGATGCCTACTCTTAGTTGAGTTTTATACATTTTTTGTTTATATGAAAATAAATGATAAGTATAATTTATAAAGAAGTTCTTGCTTATAAAAGTATAAGAAAGACTAGGCGCGGTGGCTCACACCTGTAATCCTAGCACTTTGGGATCATAAGGTCAAGAGGTAGAGACCATCCTGGCTAACATGGTGAAACCCCGTCTCTACTGAAAATACAAAAATTAGCTGGGCGTGGTGGTGGGCACTTGTAGTCCCAGCTACTCAGGAGGCTGAGGCAGAAGAATCGCTTGAACCCGGGAGATGGACGTTGCAGTGAGCCGAGATCGCACCACTGCACTCCAGCCTGGTGACAGAGCGAGATTCCGTCTCAAACAATAAATAAATAAATGTATAAGATAAATGAGATATACATTAAGATGGTTGTATTATTAAAAGAGGGGTTAACTGAGAAAGTGATATGAAAAGTATTTAATTTTTTCGTGAATTGATTTCAACTTGGTTAATCCTCCTGACAGTTTATTAGGTGTACATACAAAGACAATGAGATACACAAATAGCCATTAATTAAAAGGTGACATTTAAGGAACAGTAACAGTCACTTTGTGAAACCAGCACATGGCTTAGAATATACCATTATACCCCAAAGCGATCTTATATATCATTTAGCTCAACCGTTTCTTTTAAAAGAGAACCTGTTTACTTTGCCCATTGTCTGAGGGTCTCTTAGAGACAGAGTAGGGGGAAAATGCCGGGTCTTCCGTTTTCCAGCTCAAACTGCTTTCCATTGCCCTCTCTTACTTCCCTGAGAAGTCTGGTGAGCATGCAGCAGTACCTTCCCTGTTGTGTCTTTTGATTGTTCTCAGCAGCCTTTGCAAATCCTATCATCATTGTTTTCAGCTGCCTCTTAGACGCCTGTATCCAGAATCCCTTGTTTACCAGGCTGGTTTACCTTCTGCCCTTATCCTCAACCTGCTTATCTTTATGCTGCATTTTTGAAGCAGATAATTAAAGCCACACTGCAAGTGAATTCATTCTTTGAAGTATTTTTCTGTAACCTTCCCATTTGTAGTTCACTTGCTGACACTCGTCACCCAGCCTTTGCGTAAACGTCACCCTGGTGCTCGTTCCATTCACGTTCCCAGGAAATGCCTGGGAAACCAGTGCTCTTCAGGGTTGCCACACTGGCCACTCTCTAGGAGCCCATTATTGATGATCTTATCGTGCTATTTACGGCGTCCTAGTAATACTGATACAACTAGCTCTGAAAACTCATTAACTCATATTTCTTTGTAACTCTGGACTGCATTTAATGGGTGTTTGGGAGTTCCAGGTAAATTAATCTTTCACTTTACTGCTTTGTGGGAGAACACGTAAGTGGAGCAGAAATGCTTTATTATTGAGCACAACATTTGTGATAGAAAGCAAACCCATTATTGAGAGATGCTTCATCTCTGGACTATTAAAAAAACCATGAAAGCAGCCTACCCAAATAAGAAACACACTCTAACTTGTGTTTTTTGATATTGCTTCTTGTCGAGTGTTTTGTTTAACCTCATTTTATCAGCAAATACCCTTCTTGTTATTAAAGCATTCGTTCTCAAATTTTATAGCATACAAGAATTGTCAGGAGTCTCCATTTTAACAAGCATTTCCAGTTTATAACTTTAACTGGACATTTCTATTCAAGACAGCATTGGTGTTTACCACAATTTGTTTTGAAGTTTTTGAATCTTTAATTTGTGTGAGTACATAGTAGATCTGAGCTATTTAAACTAAAACAAAACCAGGTTTCCTGCTGTTGCTCCAAAAGTCCCGATCCATTTAATTCAAGTACAAAGATGCTATTATAATACAGTACTTCCCCAAAGCATTTAATTAATGTGAAACATATTTAATGCCACAGACTAGGTTTCTAAATGAAATGTTTACATTTATATGTTAGTATACCAGACCAAAAAAAATACTAGCTCTTTCAATAAAATCATAAGAAATGTTTTTAACTTCCTTAGTTTTATGTCTTCCACTTTTTGGTTTTCTCTCAAGCACATGGTGAGAAGAACAGGAGGCATGATGATCTCTGGCAGATCACTGAGCATCACTCAGCCCTGAGATACAGGTGGAATATTCGAGCCTGACTA